TGAATTTAGTTTGGAAGCCCCCCCTCCAGAAGGTTGGAATGTGCCATATCACTCAACAAACAACCCCACAGTATCCTAACAAACCCTAATGGGATGCAGGATCCAGCTCAGTGTAACTGCATGACCCTTATAGACCTTTGGCACAGGAGAGCAACAACTCACATGCCTCACATGCACTCCCCAGCCCACCCCAAATGTACAGAGGTGGCTTCACTGTACCCACAGCATTCTCTTGATCTGGTTCCACGGAGATGAGAGTGTGATCTCTGAACTGCAGTCTGATTTTGCTGTCTATTTTTGGCAATTTCCCACCTAAGAAAAATAAATCCTCCTTAGAAAGGAAGAAAACCAGACAAACGGTTAAACTGAGCCCCCCTGTGCTCTCCCCACTCTCTCAAGGCTGGACTGTTTGTTAAGCTATGTTGCAACACCCACATGTCCTCAAACTTGTTGTGGAGGGGGCAAGGAGAAAGAGATTTTTTAATTCTCTCACCTTTCCTGTCTGCAAGTAACTATAATAAATAGCAAGCTAGAGCCCAGGGAAAACTGCTACCAGTTAAATGCTCTCGGGATACAGTTTATCCCAGCTGCCAGTTCCAGTCTAGGATAATCTTTATTCCACTCTAAGGCAGTGTCATCTCTCCCACTAGACACGGGGAGCAAACACACCCGTGGGGCCTCACGGCACATGAAGCTGATGTTGGACTGTGATCTTTGCCTACCATAAAATACTAAAAGTCCCAAGAGGAGCAGAGTTAGCAACAGCTCTGCCATGGCATCAGCCAGTTTTAGTAACTTCCAAACCCACCTGGGGTCAAGGAATCGGAGTCACATCCCAAGCAAGGTGGCAGCCGGTGCATAATGAAGTCCTTCTTCATGTCAGATGACCTCAGTTCCCTGGGGGGGTCCAGGTGGTCTGCAAGCCTCCTCAAAAGGCTGCTCAGCTTTTTGGTGGAGTCAGCTGTATTCACCTGCTAAATATCCACACATGAATTCAAGCTGCACAGATCAGGCCTAAGCCAGTACAGAAATGCTGTCAAACTCTGGACACTCCTCTTTTATCTTTGCAAGGTTAACACTTAGTCCCAAAACAACCACCTTTGTTTGTTTTACACATTCCCCATGAAAGCTCACTTTCCCTTGCTCTGGGCCTACTGCAATGCTAAAGGACAAGCAAATGCAGTTGAAGAGACACTTGTTCCTCCTGGAGCTGATCAGCACGACAGGATCACCATAAAGAGGTCACACAACAATTTACATATCCACTAACTTTTAAAGACTGAAAAGCTTGGCCTCAGAGGAATTATGCCTGTCTGACAGATCCCAAGCAAAGAGCATTACTTTTAGAAGGAAACAAACCATACAAGGACACTGTGACAGGAAAGAAAAGCAGTGTAATGAATTAGGCAATGCCTGAGATGGAGCCAACCTCAGAAGAGTCATCCTGAAGACTTCAAAAGAAGTGGCTGGGCTGCTAGACAAGGCAGTGCCATTGCACTGAGCCTTCAGAGCAGATCAAGTGCTGAAGTTCCACCAGGCTGCACCATTATTCCCTCAGTCCCACCTACCTACCATCAGCAGTTGCCTCGGGATGCTCGTCCACAGCGCCACGTCACCTTTTGCTGTGTCAAACACCAGGCCAGGAATTGCATCAGGTAAGAAATCTCCCCAAGAGCTGATGGACAGGAAGAAACAAACAAAA